TGCTCCGGGGCAAACCTCTACAAAGTCCTAGTGAGGCAGAACTCGACCCTCCACACTCAGCAGCCTGCCGTCCACCCGTCCACACCCCCGTTTCGCCCCCGCCCCAAGCTGGCAGATGCCTTGTCGTCCCTCTAAGACCGCACCCGGATAAGGTAGCTGCAAAGACGCTCGCCAAAGCGCTCAGAGCCCCAGGGAAGGGTGGCGCCTGGCAGCTCCCTCTCCTCTGGGAGATCTGGGGCGCCAGGGCTGCCGGGGCCTAGCACAGCGTGCGCCACGAGACTTAAGGATGCGAAAACTGCTGGGAGGCCGAGAGAGGTCCCGGGAGCAGGGGCGCGAGGAGGCACCTTGAGGCTACGGACTTCGCGGCCGCGGTGGCCTCGCAGGAGGAAGTGGCTTAAATGAAGAGTCCTGACTCCAGGCTTGACTCCCAGCTAAATAAACGATCACCTCCCTGAGAGGAGGCCTTGGGTATGCCGTGTTCCCAGCGGCCCTGACATAGTGGCTCCCAGGACACGCTGATCGAGCGAAGGTCAGACACCATCCACTGGCTTGCCTACTCGCCCTGCAGCGCTAGGCTTTGCTGTGAAGTCCCGAACCACCTGCACCAGGACCACCCGAAAAGTAAAAGTGCAGATCTCTGGGCCTCACCCTCATCTGCTGAAACCAAGCAATCTCTCCACTGTATTTTCTCGTGCGCTGAAGTTTGAGGCTTGCAAGGCCCTAACACTGCTCTGGGCTTTTTCATTTTGGAAGCGCCCTCGTCCCTCTTTAGCTTCACCAAGAGGTAGACATTACCAGCTCAGTCTTCACAGAAGAACCTGCGGCAGAAAGAAAGTTGGGGGCTTTTCAAAGGCCCACGCGGAAGGTGGCTCCTGTGCAAACGCAGCGTCTGGCACGGTCAAGCGCTGCTAGGGTTTGGGAAATTCATGGTCCCCTCTCCTGCGTATTTGAACCAACTTATCTTGCACTTGTCCCCAACCCCATTAATTGCCGGTGTTCGGGGGAATGGAGTGATTGTTGCGGGGCGGAAAGGGAGCGCCAGTGTCGAGAGCAGAAGCTGGTTACAGCCAGCTTCGCCTGGGGCTGCTCCTGCCAAGAGGGAAGTGGGGTGGGGGCTACGGGATGGAGGGGCGCGGGGCACTGGCCTGGCTGCGTGGTACTGCCAGGTGGCCGTCTCAGGATCCTTCGCCGCGCCTCTCAATCCCATCCCATCCAAACCACGCCGCGCCTGCGGCCACTAGCCCATTTTATCCCACTGCGCCCCTGTCCCTCCCCGCCGCGGGGTTCCACTCCACGGGTGCCGGGGCTATGCCCCTCACCCACCCACTCCACCGATACTGGCTACTGCAATCTCTACCCGGGCGTCCAGATTCCTGGCCTTGTCCTTTCTGCTGGAATCATCAATGGGATTGCGCTGCCGCCGCCAAGCAGTCCTACACTCCTGGCTAGTGCTCTCGGCCTCCGGCAGCTTGGACATTCCGCGTTTAGGGAATGGAAAGTGTGAAGTCAGTGGTGAGTAATCGGAGCTTGATAGAAATAAAACTAAATCTGCATGTTCCTACCTCCAGGCCGAGAACCCTCAGCGTCGAGGAGCCGGGTCTCTAGTGCAATCAGCCCTGTCTCTATGCGGATGTCACAGATGCAGTGCTCTGCTTGGGACAGAAGGACCCGGGGAGTTGAAGGCAGGGTGTGTCCGGCTAGAGGCTCTGAGCCACTGTGATCACCGTTTCCCGTTCGAGATGCAGAGGGGAACATGCACACCAACGCGGACTTGGGCCTCTTCCTGGCCTCCTCCCTTTGGAGAGGCCAGGATTAGCTCAGCAATTCCGCTCACTAGCTTCATGCCCTGTAGAAAGAAATGTTCTCTTTGCAAGTCGCTTCACCATCTGTAACAGTAGTATAACAATACCTTCTCTTTCCACAAATATTCAGAGAAGCCTACCAGATATCAGGCACCATCCTGGGCCCTGAAACACAGAAGAAGATAGCAGACAGGCCTGGATAGGGACACGAACTCTCAAGCCAGACACGAGGTTCAAATTCAGGGTCCATCACTTGGTTAGCTGTAGGACCACGGAGAAATCCAGTCCCTGGTACCCTGGCCTGCTCAACTATTAAATAGGAGTGGTAATATAACGACCCCCATAGAATGGATGGGACCAATTATCTAATGGGCATAGATAGCTTGCCATGGTGGGCTGGCCCTATGGAAAGCTCAACAATTGCCGTCGTGTTACCTGGCTTCAGACCGCGCATGTGTCCACCAGTCTAGCTGATAGCCTTTCCTTAGGACCAAAGGGAGGAGATGCAGACGTGAAGAACCGAAGGACGAGTCGGCACGCTGGGTACTCTCGCGGAAGCCAACCTTGGGCTCTCGGGAACAGGCCGGGAAAGCTGAAAGCACAGTGATCCCCTTCGCTCTTCCAAGACACTGGGTCGCCTCTACGCGCGGAGGTGATTAGTCAGTGAGGTCCGCACTCGGCGCATGAGGTGCTCCAGAACTAACCACCCCCGCAGACTTAACAGAGCCAGGAGGGGCCGCAGGGGCCTCCAACCCCATGGCTCTTCCCAGCTTTCCCGGACACCGGCGCTGAGCACTGGGGAGCCGGGGAGCAAGCGCCAAGAGGAGCTTTTAAATTTAAGTTTCCAGAGTAGCCTCAGAGAAGGAGGGAAATTCCAGTAGAAAAGCCCCTTCTGCCTCAGGACGTCATTCAGTAAAATGGACAGAAGCTGCCTCACAAGTGCTTTGTAAGCTTTTCTGGGATGGCTTAAAAATACACCTGAGCCTTCTTGTGAATATGTCCCAGAAGGTCCTGTTGACCTCCTCGCCCTTTTTTCAGGCATTTATGATCTGACTTAATATAGGAACTCCCATTTTTCCAGCACTGTGCACCAAGCACATTGCCAACCATTTTACCTGATTTTAATCTCAGTCTACAAAGTAGGTACTAAGCCTGTGGATCTTTCAATACCTGGCAGGCACACAGTAAGTCGTTGATAAGATGGAATAAGCAATCAGAATTTCTGATCAGGATTGCCTTCCCAGAAGAGACATTTGTGAACTCCAAATGAATTCTGCCCTTCCGCTGGCATCTTATGAAGGACTAAGAACCAAATGTCCCACTCAATTTCTCAATCTGACTTTAAGGCAGTCTTTCTGCCCCACCCAGAGATCTAGGGAATTACAGTAATTACAATAGGAATGTTAGCATAGCAATTAGCCCTTTAGGAATAGGCCAGGCAGCAAAGGGCAGCTAAAGCTCTGCTCCACGGCCCAAAGTCTTTCCAGTAGATCACAAGCGTATAATCAATCTAAGTCAAGAGCCTGTTTTCTCTGCCAGAACAGCTTGAAGACAAGCTTCCAACCATCCCCCAGACCCCAGATTTCTTCCTATAGGGAAATTCCGGAGCCTCCTCTGCTAAGTGGAAATTGTTATCTTCCTTGAACAGGTGGCAGCCAGCTCCCAGAGGCTGTGACTGATGCAAGGCCACCCAGTTCGTGAGTGGTTTTGTCAGTCTTGAACTCAGATTATATCCCTAAAGTCCTTGTCTCTGAGCAATCACACACAATTATCAGAACATTTACTAACTACCTCATCTTTCCCTACACTGGTAATGTCTGTAAAGGCAGCTTACATACTAAGAAGGAATAAGAGCTGACAATAGTGAGCTCTTACTGAATGTCAGGCATAGAGAAAAATGTCATACATATATATTTTTAAAGCAAACATAAAGCATCCTTTCTGCCGGGTCTGGTTTTAAAAGCTTTACATGTATTTATTTAATCTTCACAACAGCCCTTCATTTTACACAAGAAGAAATGGAGGCGGCCGGGCGCGGTGGCTCAAGCCTGTAATCCCAGCACTTTGGGAGGCCGAGACGGGTGGATCACGAGGTCAGGAGATCGAGACCATCCTGGCTAACACGGTGAAACCCCGTCTCTACTAAAAAATACAAAAAGCTAGCCGGGCAAGGTGGCGGGCGCCTGTAGTCCCAGCTACTCGGGAGGCTGAGGCAGGAGAATAGCATAAACCTGGGAGGTGGAGCTTGCAGTGAGCTGAGATCTGGCCACTGCACTCCAGCCTGGGCGACAGAGCAAGACTCCGTCTCAAAAAAAAAAAAAAAAAAAAAAAGAAAGAAATGGAGGCACAAAGAGATTGTTTATTACTTCAAAATTACCTGGCTAATACATGGCAGAGTTAAACTTAGCATCCAGACCTCTGACTGGAGAGGCCTCCCTCCAAACTGCCATTCTAGGCAACATTTAGAACATCTCTCTGCAAGGGTCCTTCAGGCTCTATGGGCCTTTGGTAGCTTCCACATTTGTTTGCTTGAATCTCAGGCAAATACCTGAGAGGCCTTCCCAGGTGATCTGTGGTGTCTTTGAAAAATAACTAATGTATATTGAGTACTTACTATACACCAGGCACCAGTAATTGAGTACTTGTTATATGCCAGGCATTATTCTAAGCCATTTACAAGTTTAAAGTCATTTAATATTCAGCAAAACCCTGTGGGATAGATTCTATCACTGCCCCCAATTTACAGATGAGTAAACTAAGGCCCAATATCAAGCAATCAGTAAAAGGCAGAGTTGGGGTTAACTCTCAGGTTGTCTGGCTGCAGATGATCCTGTGCTGGATGTGAAAATGGAGGTTCCATTTGTTCAGAGGCCTCTGCATTAATATTCATCATATCTTTTTCTCCCAATTTACATACAGGGATTTCTTTCTTGGAATTTCCCTGCTTATCCAAAGTTTCAAGCAGCCTAAAGAAAACAGCAGAGCCGCTATCTTCAGGCTTGATCTACATCTTCATATTGGTAAAATGAGCAGCCAAGACAACTCTTGGAGGTTTGAGGCTTGAGACTGTGTCTGGAACCTGAATAACAGGAATACCAGACTTTCCACAGCTTTAGGGCACGTTCTTACAGGTGCCAGTGGTGCAGCTACATCCACTCACGGTTTTTTGCCTGTTTTCTAGGAGTTACAAAGCGCATTCACAAACATCCTTGCAAAATCGCAGAGATGTGTCCACTGCTGCTTCAGAGCTGGCCAAGGGGATGAACCAGACAGGCTTCTACTCTGTCCTAATAATCAAATGTCTTCAACCTCTCTCCGTGGGCACATTCAACTTACTTATGTCTAAAAATATATTGTCAAGATGCTTCTTTTTTTATCAAGGCCCGATTTGGGTGGTGGGGCAGGGTAGGTGTTACCGAGAAGCCAGAAGCATTCGCACTTACACTGGCTGGTTCGCCTTGGCCACATCCTCTCCACATCTTCTCCCTGGGCGTCCCCAAAGTCATTGGGTCAGAACCGAAATGGAGGCTTTGGCGGTGACCGCGTGTGATCCATAGTAGACGTCGGAAGCGGGAAGGGGCGTCCTGCGCGGTGGGACCTGCGCGGGGGCAGTGGCGCAGGCGCCAGGAGGAAGGTGCAGCACCGAGTCCGGTGCGCCGCTGCAGGCGGGTGCATGTATGGCGACAATGAGGAGATATCCAGTGACAGCCACGTCGAATTTCAGACCTTGACGCATGATTTCTCCTCCATCTCTGTTTCCCTAATGGGCACCTGGTCTCGTTGACCCTCGGAGGTCATCGCTGCTTTTGCACAAGGAGAAGCGCTCTGAGACCCGAGCTGTGCCAGCAAACTCAGGGTGGGCTACGTAGGGAGGTCCTGCGGCTTGCCCACAACAGCCTCTCAACGCTCAATGCTCCCCACCGCATCCCGCCCCCACCCCCACCCGCTCTGGGGTCAGCTGGGACTACAGATAACCTCCGGGGATTCTCCACCAGCCTCTGGAGAGCTGGGGACTTTGGTCCTGCCTCCTTGCCTGACTGGGGCGCACCTGCAGTGTCCCCTCCAACCGCTCAGCAGTGGCGCAAGGGCTTCTTCCACTTGCACGGGTGGCGTCTCAGCGAAGGTCCGCGCCCTTCGAGTGCCTGGAAAGGAGCCATATCGAGCATGCAACCATTTTTGGAGTGGGGCATTTTTAACCCCTTGTACAGAGGCGGTATCTAAGGTTCTGTGATGTATTCCTAAAAGCAGGGTTAGTAAATTCTGACCTAACTCCACTGGCCCCCGCGTGGAACTCCCGACTCCCCAAGAAAAAAAAAAAATGCATAGCTCTATATTAGGACTTCGAGCTAAACTGTGAGGCCCTGGTAGACCGGGTTACGCCTCTACTTCAGTATCTCAAGAGCTTGTCCCAGAGTCTAGCTTCAAGTGGGTAGAGGGTGGGGAAGGGAGCAGAGGAAGTGACCCCCAAAACAACCTACAAAATGTTGGCATGTAGTAGGGTTCGCTGTATCCCCTGGACCTACCAAATTGGGTAACACTCGGACACGGATGTGGGAGTCTTAGTTTCGGCTTTCCGTCTACTAGCCTCAGTTTCCCCACACCAGAAGTGGCCATAACTATTCACACCTGGTTTGTGTGAATGCCGAAAGTGAGAGGAAGGTGAATTGCACCATCTCGTATTAGCGCTGTGATCTTGAGCAAATTACTTACCCTCTCTGTGCCTAAATTTCCTGGCACGTTGTCAATGTTCCGCCGCCACCCCCCCCACCTCCCCCCACCAAAACAAAAACAAAAACAAAAAAAAACACAAAAACCTTTGCCTGGCTTGATGGTTTTGAGGCTTGCAAATAAAAGGAGGGAGCCAGGTCTCCCTTTCTCGGACTGAAGGACTAAACAGTCTCACCTCTGGGAATGGTTCTGAGCAGAATTTTCTCGCCAGTTACTAGACCTGAGATCTTGGATAAGCTGCACTCTCCTTTGCCCCTCAGTCTCCATCTATAAAACGAGTCACGGAAGATACAACAGTTTCTGAGGCCCCGTCCAAGCTCTGGTTTTTGCTCCTTGGTGTAGGGGGCCCTCAGGTCGGAGGAAGGGGTCCAAAGGCTAAAGTCGGGTCCATCCCGTGGGCCCCTCCCACTCCACCCGTTTGGGCGCGGCTCTAGGGTGGAAGCCCTGGCGACAGCACAGCTTCGCTGCGGCGGGTAGGGAGGACCGCCGGGCCCAGAGTTCCCGCCGCCACATATGGTCTGTGGATTTAGGTGTCAAAAACCGGAGAATTAGAAATGGTAATTTTCCGTCATTATGGCTGAAATGCGATCTGTCACAACAACTGGAACATGTCTCCGCGCTAGCAAAAATAATGTTCGTGATTAGGAATCATTACGCACGTCAAGCCGAGTCCATTAAGTTGTAGGGAGAAATTAGCCTTGACGGACAGAATCAAACTACAAATATACAGGCCTCGCCTTCAGGAGGCCTAGCGGCGGCACTCGGGAAGAGGCGGCTGGAGTCGGTGTTTTCTTAATAGGAAATTGCCCAGAGAATTAATACTCCCTTCCCCGCACCCCTGTGGGATTCTCCCCTCCTCTTCCCACAACCTAGTCCCCACCCTAGGAGTGGGAGGCGGCGCGGAGGCACCGCAAACATTAACTGGAGGCTTTGAAGTTTCACAGGTCCCCCAGGCCAGTTCCCGCCTCACCACTTCCAAGCTGCATGACCCTGGCCAAGTCACTTGACCCTCCTGAACTTTGCTTGCTACTCTGTAAAAAAGGTATAATCCCACACACTTCATGGGTTCGCCCCAGGATTCACTGAAAGGTACGGTCAGTGCAAGCACATGAAAACCACAGAATCTGTTCGACCTTCTTTCCTTTCCTGGAGCTCCAGTCTCTGGCTCACAATGATGAGGTGATGGTGACTGCAGTGTGTGTGTATGCGTGTGTGTGTGTGTGTGTGGTGTGTATGTATGTATGTGTATGTATGTGTGTGTGTGTGTGCTGGGGCTGAGGCATTGGGGTTGAGTGCCCAGAACTGGGAAACTTGCCAATCAGACACTGAGCAAGGAGGCCAGAATCTCTGAAACTGAGGAGGGTGAACACAGAGCAACTGATGTGCCTTGCTGGGCTTGGTGCCCTCCTTCCTGTCACCCCAGGTAGGAAGAAAGGCACTGGGTTCTCTGCCCTGCCTGTGAGGCCCACCAGAACTACCTGCACCCTAGGATCTGCACTGTCACCAAGGAGTGGCACATGGTAAATGAAGCCGGGATTAAAAGCCTTCCCTCTGAGAGTGCTGCCCCGGTCTCCACTGGAGACCAAAAAAAAAAAAAAAAAAAAAAAAAAAAGCCATTTACTATTCACAGCAGGTAGTTTTGGAAAGATCATCTCCCTCTCTTGCAGACGGGGAGGAAAGGAAGGAAAGGCTGAGCAGGGTCTAGAAAGGTAGGTTCCATCCAGCCTTGTGTGCCCGATCATCTTTTGAGAGCTTGCTCTGTGCCATGCACCCACTCCAAAGGGCTTTAACTACGTTATCTCTTTTTATCTCCAAGCCAACCTATGAGTCTCCTTATTCCCTGGGGAGAATGAGGGCCCGAGTTTAGGGAACTCGCCCAAGAGCCTGGAAGCTGGGAAGAAGCAAAAGTGGAAGATAAGCCTGGCCCTGTCTCCAAAGCCTGTTCACCACTCTGCCATTTGGAGCTGCAAAGCTTCAACCCACCAACTCTTCTATCTGGCTTTTTCGTGGTTCCTACGGGACCTCAAATTCCACATCTCAAAGAGCTAGGGAAAATGAAATGCGCTAAATGTAAAACATTTAGCTCTGTGCCTGACATAACATTGATGCCCATTTAGTCACTTACTCTCTCCGGGCCTCATTTTTCTCCTCTGTAATTACATGGTACCTTCATCTCTGCCTGGGGAAACCAACGCACGTGTGGCCCGCGCTGAGTAGTTTGGAGCCAGACAGACTAGGTTCGAACCCTAGCTCCACCGGAAATAGCTGTGGCCAGGGTAGTGTTGATCCCCAAAGTGGGGCAATGGAAGTTGAGCTGCTGGAAGGAATGAATGAAATAATTCATGGAAAGCACTTACTGCAGGGCAGGAAAGCCATTAGGCGCTAAATAAAGCGCTGGTTACCAGAATGCAATGATTGGCCCGCACAAGCTTGAGGTTTGCTGCCCAGGGAAAAGGAGTAGCAGCTCTCAGCCCCTTTCGGCAACTTCTCGGCTTCCCTCACATCTCTGAGCTTTAGTGATCCGGACCTCAGATCCCGTTTCCGAGGGCACCAGCGTCCTAGGGTGAGGTCCATTCAATGCTTAGGCGATCCTGCCACAGGCCTCCCGCAGAGGCTGGGTCGTTAAGAAAGGGGGTGGGGGAAGGAGGAACGGCTAGCACCCAGATCTGTGGCCTGGCCTCTGCCCCCACCGCCCTGCCTTTGGCAACTAGTGAATCAGGACTGAAGCATAGGGACACAGAGGCACAGAGACTAAGTCCAGAATAGCAACGATCAGTCAGGCAGACAGAGAGATAGTGACATGGTCTCAGGATCCGCACCCACTAAAAGCGCTCCTACAAACATTTGATATTCCAGTGACCTTCCTTCACTAACTCCCAGAATAATACTGCGCCTCACAGGCGCTAATCCGCAGCATATTTTATTTTTCTTTTGGCACTGCCATTTCTTGTATCCCACTAGACTGTGAACTCCACCAAGCCGGCGATCTTTCTTCTCTGCATCCTTGGCACAGAATAGGCTTTCAGCTACTTTTGCTGAATATCTGAGCAACTAAATAAATGAACAAGCAAAGAAAGAAAGAAAGAACAGACAAGGATTCCACAACAAAGATTTTTCTCTTTAAAGAAATCTCTGTTTACGCGTTTCCTAGGAGCTCATTGTTGCGATTTTCCCCTGGCTGGCCACCTTTGAAAGGACAGGACTCCATTTCTCCTTCCTGCACCCTGTGGCCACCTTCCCTACGTGCGCTTGGCTTCAATTCTCCTCAGGCCTGAGCCCTGACAGCAGGGCTCAAGCCTCTTATTAATGAGACAAGTGTATTTAGGAAGTGCCTCACTGCAGGCAGTATTTCATGGAAAACAATTAATAATATAAATCAAATTTTAGACATCTTAGGAAAGAATTATTTTAAAAAATTCTTCAGCAGATTCTTTCGGACAGAGGGAATGCCCTGGAAAATGAAGCTCCCCCTCAATGTATTTCTTTTCTAAACCTTAAAAGCCTATATATTGAATTTATTTTAAAACCACAATTGCAGTTGTGGATGGGATACACATAACCTATTACTTCAAAGAAGGTTTCCAGTGGATGCTGACTTCTCACTGTTTGGGTTGTTGTTACAGTCACTCCACACTTTCTGTCCACCTCTTACAATCTTCGTAAATATATTTTTTAAATGGTACATGTCCTTGTTTAACTTTGCAAAACTTGTTATCAGCTAGGCTACAAGTGTTTAGTGGTGCCAACTACTCAAGGAGCATGTAATTCTTTCACTAGCCCATCTTTGTATTTGTAAATGGGGGTATTCATTTTTTCAGCAAAGTACTGTGAGCTAGGTCTTCAGGAAAGCCTGGGTCCAAATCCACCTCTGTTTCAATGGGAATTTTTCAGGAGGAAGCTTTCATTGCCTTCCCTCTTGGAGTATCAAAAAGATGTCAGGCCTGAGTCACTGGGTTCAGCTTTTCCAGATGATTGCTCCTGGATGAGTCATCAGCTTCTTTTGCTTCTCTGACTCTCAGGGAATCAATACTACCTGCCTTCAGATTCAAAAGAAGTGGCAGTGGAGAACCCGTTTTGTGTTTGTTTGTTTGTTTGTTTTTGTTTTTGTTTTGGGTTTTTTTGTTTTTTGTTTTTTTGATACGGAGTCTGGAGTCTTGCTCTGTCACCAGGCTAGAGTGCAGTGGCACGATCTTGGCTCACGGCAACCTCACTGCCTCCCAGGTTCAAGTGATTCTCCTGTCTCAGCTTCCTGAAGTAGCTGGGGCTATAGGCGCACACCTCCACACCCAGCTAATTTTTGTATTTTTAGTAGAGACGCGGTTTCACCATGTTGGCCAGGGTGGTCTCGATTTCTTGACCTCGTGATTCTCCCACCTAGGCTTCCCAAAGTGCTGGGATTACAGGCATGAGCCACTGTGCCCGCCTGAAGAATCCATTTTTGAAACATAAAATGCTCCAGGTAGGAATATTTCCTCTGAAAACATTTCAGTTCTTACTACATATCAAACCCCGTGCTGGAAATCCAAAAAGCAAGGGCAATTGCTGTAAAACAACTATCCCAACAAGCAGCACTGCCTTAAGCTCATGATCCCAATGGGTACGGCGGTCTAAGCCCTGCTCACCTCAACAAGGCATCTGGGAGAAGCTGCTCTGCCAGGACCCCAAGAGGTCTAATACCCTCCCGCACCACCTCTCCTCCCCACCCTTACTCCAGCGCAGTCCCCACACTCCACTGCCAGCCACAACCGCTCCCAGGGTGTCTTCACACACCCCAGCTGCGACACTGCACCACAGTGTCTTTCTAGTTTTAAAACCATTTTCCAGGATGAACCTGAAACGGGGAGTGTGTTTTCAGGGACCTTGTTTTTCAGCCCTTAGCTGGTCAGGGGAAGTTAATGTGCATTTTAATGCGGTCAAGTATGAAATGATGGCATGTGGGGTTTGCTCACTGCCTAGGCGCCAGGAAAAATTCTGAGGGCTGAGGCCCGAGAATTTGACCCAGAAACAAGTCTGGCTCTTGCGCTGATCCTTTGCCCCCCAGGACCTGCCTCCAGAAGCCCAGAAGAACAAGAATGAGAACTTGGCCAGGCTTGGAGACTGCCAGCTTGTCCTGCCGCCCCCCCCCCCCCCCCCGCCCACCAACTTTGCAAGGGTCTCCAGGCCCTTAGAGGGGTAGGTAGGAAAAGGTATGGTGGAAACAGACATAGATGAAGCTGAAGGATCCTGGCCTTATTTATGTGTTCTTCCAGTATGGTTTGGACGCCAAAGAGCAACAAACCCCGTGCTAGGCGCAGTAGTAAGTGCATGAGGTCCCATCTCTGTATTCTCAGAGGTCCCCAGGCCGGACAGCACCAGAGCCCACTGAGCCCAGGTGATAGGGGCTAGGACCTTGGGACCTACTCAAGAGGGACTCTTAGTTCAAACCTGGGGAATGGGTGACTCAGTGAAGACCTAAGACCTGCAAATCAGGACCTGAAGGGATGTGGAGAACTTGGCCAAGTGAGGTCCTCCCTGCAGCCCGCTCTCTCTCTCTTATCTGCTCTGCCCCCCGGACATCTTTTTCTTTCTCACCACCTCTGTGTGGGTGTGTCTCTAGCTTCCTTTCTTGCAGTCGGAGGGTCCAAGAATGCATTGCTCAACTTCTCGGAAAAGAGGAGGGGCAGTGCCCCTGGCCTCCTCCGCAAAGAAGGATTCCTGGAAGCCGGTCACCCTGGTGACAGCTCTGCACCCCGTCCAGGATGTGCACGGAGGACATCCTGCGGCAGCCTGACATTGGCAGGAATACACTCGACCTGTGGGTGTGAGCAGGTTTACTACTTGGTTTTTGAATTCTCAAGAGCATCAAATCCATTGGCTCTTTCCAAAAACACAAGCCAAAAGGAAGTAGACCGGGACAAACTCCGGGCCTGCCGATCCCTCGAAACTTCGGGGACAATTCAGGCCCATTTATATGGTCACCCAAGCTCCTTAGCGACTTCTGAACCCACGCAGCCTGGTAATATCCGATGGCCACAGTCCAGCGTTCGGCGCACAGTGAGGCTGGACCACTGGGGGACGCCGAGGTTCCGAGTTGGCATTGTGGGCATTACCCAGCCACTCCTGCGCGGCCAGGTCCCCTGTGCCGAAAGCGGTGGCACCCCAGCGCGCATGTGCTTGTGGGTGTTGGTGCGCAATAACCCCGCTGCCCAGTTCTCCCGCGCCTGCCTGGGAGGCCTTGGTGCGCACAAGGAAAGCCATTCAAAAATGTTAATGAGCTTATTAAAATGAGCGGGTATACTGGCTCTCCTTTTACAGCCAGCTGCCCACCCTCTCTTTCTGGTGGACCACTGGCGAGAAAGCACTTGGGATTTTTTTTTTTTTTCGTCTTAGGGCGTTTTTCATCTAAGGACAGGGGGCTCTCCGGCTCTCCGGAGACTAGTGCGGCCACAGAGGAGAGGACTAGCCTCAGGCCTTCTCCCTACCGAGCACAGTGAGTTTGAAGAAGTCCTCCCTGAGGAAAACCTGTACTTTCCAAAACAGCTGACCTCTCAGGCCCAGGAAGGCTGATGGCGGAGGCCCAAACACCGTGACCTTCCTGGGGAGGCCTGCATAGTAGCAACTTGGGGCGACTCAAATCTTTAAAATAACCACCCCCTGAACCCCACGCGCAAACAAAAATTGTGCTCAGGAAAGACACGACTCAATATTTAAAGTAGAAAACTTTTGTCCTTTACCTCACTACAAGCCAGTGGTAAGTCTGAACTCCAAGCGTTACTCAGGAGTCTTACAACCACTTTTTTTTTTTTTTTTTTTTTTTTTTTTTTTTTTTTTTTTAATGGAGGCCCAGAGAGGAGAAGTTAATTGCCTAAAATTCACCAAGTCAGTGGTACAGCTGCCTCAGGCCTGAGGAGCCCACTCAGGCCCTCCGGCGGCCTTACTCTAAGTACCTATGGGGTCTTTGAGCCCGATCCGATCACCTCCCACCCTCGATTTGTGCAGGCAGCGGAGAAGCTTTCACATTGTGCATCCTCCCCTAGGCGCAAGGGCACACACCAAGGTCCTAAGGAGAGAGGCTGAGTGTAGCCACAGAAGGGGACCGGAACAGAGACGGAAAGAACTCACCAAAAAGCCCCCCAGGTCCGCAGCACAGAACCCAGCGCCGGATCCTCATGCCAAGAGTTTAAAGCTGCGATTGCAGAAGCAGTGCGGATTGACGCAGGCGCTCCCATGAGACCAAGAGGGCTGCAGAGACTAGGTGCTCTTGGCTCCGCGGGCGCACAAACCGCGACGGATGGCGGCACCGGGGACTGCGAGCAGGGGCATGGAGTGGGAGGGAAAGCTGATGAGAGCGGGCTTTGAGCCTGGAGAACTCGTCACGCACGTTCACGCAAGCTTGGAGGAAACATGTGAGCTCAGGAGCGAGCTTACCTCGCGGGAGGTTCGAGGGAGGGTGACACTCTCACTCCCACAGCTACCATGTGTTCCCTTTAAACCGTCCATTCCAACAGGAACACAGTGGTGCCATTCGCAGTGGCCACGGATTCTGGGTCGGCCCTGGGTGGGCCAGAAGCCACGCTCCTACCTTTCCCCGCCCGCCTC